CTACTGAGGCGCTACCAGAGGGCGACTCACCAGCCTCTTTCCTCTCTTTACTTCCTTCTCTACTGAGGGCACATGGAACCTCGTATCCAGGTTTTGGGTACTACTATGTCCTTCGGCTTCCACAAATCCAGAGGAATATAACTTTTTTTAAAAAGAAAGAAAAAGAAACAGGAATTTAAATAAACAATCATTTTGCACGGTGTATTAAAATGATAAAAAAGAGCTGCGGTGGCTCAAGTGGTTAAGACGCTGAACTACAGGCTGTGGAAGGTCGGTAGTTCGGCAGTTCGAGACCCGAGTTGCCGCATGATGGAGTGAGCTCCCGTCTCTAGTTCCAGCTCCTGCCAACCCAGCAGTTCGAAAGCAAGAAATTGCAAGTAGATAAATAGGTACCACTTCGGTGGGAAGGGAACAGCGTTCCGTGCGCCTTGGTGTTTAGTCATGCCGGCCACATGACCACGGAAACGTCTTCGGACAGCGCTGGCTCTTCGGCTTTGAAACGGAGATGAGCCCCGCAACCCTAGTGTCGGACTCGACTGGCTTTCGAGCAGGGGAACCTTTACCTTTATTAAAATGAAGCAGTAAGAAATAGCAGACAGAATTTGCAAGGGATTCAAATTCACCATCGTCTTTGATTCCGCAGTTTCTTTCATGAGTTCCCTCAACCGCAAACCACCACCACCACTCTAAACTTTATGTCCTCATGGATTTTGGCTTCCACGGAGCACAAGGCTCGCTCACTCTTCCAGCAACCTGGACAACTCAGGATTTTTCAAGAACTCAAGATAAGTAGCTGTGCTAGTCTGTAGCAGTAAAAAAAAAAAGCAAGAGTCCAGTCACACCTGAAAGACTAACGTAATTTGCGGTAGGATATAATGATTTCAAGTTTTGGTGTGTGTGTTTCTTTAAATGTTTAGTTTGACTGTAGTACTGTAAGAAGAGTGATAGAGGGAGACAAGTGTGATGTGATCGGCTGCTGACTGAGAGTGGGAAAGGAGGGGTGTCTATGAGGTGATTCTGTGTGTGAAGTTTGAAGAGAGAGCATAGTCTATGTGACTATGGGAGTTTTTGAGTCTATTATGTGTGAATAAGACAAACAGTTTTGTGTGAATATGAGTTTTGAGTCTATACTGTGTGAATAAGACAAAGAGTTCAGCCTGTGTGGCTATATATAGATGAGCAAGAGAGAGACTGGACTAAGTGTCTATGCCTGTCAGAGTGGAGTTTTGGGAGTTTGAGAGACTGTTTGTGACACCAAGCTTTGCCAGTTATATTTACAAGTTCCTTTCATCAGCAACAGTTCAAAATAACCAGAAACCTATTTTGTTCCTTATTAAATAAATCGTTTTTATTTAAACTTATCCTAGCAATCAAAATAGTCCTTCCTCAGGGCCACATAGTCCTCTGAAGTGCCCAGACCCTAGGTCATTCTACCAAAAGAGAGAGATCTGGAATTTTTAATTCTAGGTGGCAGCAGAAATTTACCAAGTTTAGGTACACAGAGAATGTTCTAAAGGGAAAACCAACTCCCCTATAAGCGAGGACGCCACAGTAGGGTATGAGCTTTCGTGAGTCATTGCTCACTTCTTCAGATACAGATATCTGAAGAAGTGAGCAGTGACTCATGAAAACTCCTACCCTACCACAAATTTTGTTAGTCTTTCAGGTGCTGCTGGACTCTTGCTCTTTCCTACTGTTCAAGAACTCATTCACTAATTGCAAAGTAACTTCCTGTGTTCAGCTACTTGTAGGGAGGGGCTCAGTGGTAGAGCATCTGCTTTGGCATGCTGAAGGTCCCAGGTTCAATCCTCAACATGTCCAATGAAAAAGACCCCGGAGAGCAGCTACCAGTCTCAGCAGGCAATACCAACACTGAAGGACCAGTGGCCTGACTATCAGCCGTGTTAACTGTGTTCATCACATCCTGCCCCAAACCAGAAGAAGTGGGGCAATCTGCTCAGAGGTGGCCTTTCATCCCCTCCCCGGACTCTGTGATTAAGTCAGCCAATGCAAGGCTACAGGGAGCAGCCTTAGATTTAACCATACCACAAAATTCACACCCTCCCCTTCTTCAGATTTTCTTCTTGAAATACCTGTAGAATTGAACACAGGATAAATGACAGGCAGGCAGGCAGGCGGGCAAGCAGACAGCCAGCCCTGACAAAGATCTTTGGGTGCTTTCAATTTCCAAGCCATTTATCGTGCACATATCACTGCAAAACTCACCAAGCAATCCTGATGAACTGCAAGCTTCAGTTCTTTAGTGACATACATAATGGAACAATCTTCAGTTTCTGAGCAAATTGCACACTGTATTTTTGACATATACTCCATTATCTTTATGGTGCCACTGGACTCCTATTTTATTTCACCTTCGGAAAAAAAGAATTTAAAGATTAACCTAGCAGGCATTTTCCCAATTGGCTCAAGGAAGTTAAATATCTGGGGTCAAGTCTTGAAAGTAGCCTTGCTTCTGAAATCCTGCTTAGCTGACAGTTAAATTACATTTTGACAACAGTGTAGGTGTCCGGCCCAGACTTTGGCAAAGCTCTGGGGGGAAGAAAATGCTTGGTACCTTTGCTGTTCTTGTAAAACATGAATACGGCATCCTCAAGAGGGTAACTGCTCCTGGCTATGCCAAACAGGGACGATATTTAGACCGAGAGCCATTGAGAACCAACAGCAAATGAAGCCTTCACTTGGTCCTGCAGCTAGAGACATGCTAACTCACAGATACGTCTGACAGGGAAAGAAAACACATGTAGTCAAAGGACAGTATATATGAAACCCCGCACAAGTATCTTGGAAACTCGTTGCTAAGAATGCCCAAGTGCAATTCATGACCAGGCATTACTTACTAACTAACTAAATAAAAGGAATGCATGTGGATGAAAAGCTTCAGGTGGACTGCACTGTTAAGAAGCAGCCAACACCTTTGAATTGAGAACTCTTTCCTGAAACCCTCCCATAAAGACTGGATTAGCAGCACACCTATCCTCAGGAGAAAATGGTTGGATTTTTCTAACTGCTTTCACACATTAATTATATATATAAATGTGTGTGTGTGTGTGTGTGTATACACACAGCATATATATACTCAGGCAGCCTCATTTTTAACTCATTTTGAGCTTCTTTTGATAGGAGAAAGGATATATATATCCTTTCTCCTATCAAAAGAAGCTCAAAATGAGTTAAAAACGAGGCTGCCAAGAACAAAGAATATACAGACATGGCACCATACAATTAAAAACCAAGATAATAAAATGCCAACTATCGAGATTACAACCCCCAGTTTCCAAACTGGCTGAAAAAGGCCAGAAAGCAGCAAAATTAGCACCCCCAAAAGCCCTTCCAACTGCCCACTCGATAGGGCTTCTGCCTCCTGGGACCTGTTGAGATGGGATCTCTCTCCCAACACCTAGGGATGGTGACACCTCCCCAAAGATGTCCCTGACCGGCCTGAGGCAGGCGAGCAAAGGCGAGGAACAGACTGAAGCTGGACCACACAGGTTCACACCGGGAGAGAGACGGTCCCTTAGGGATGCAGGTCCCAGGTCGCCAAGGGCGTTGAAGGCAAGGACCAGCACCTGGGACGGACCCCACCCCCCCACCCAAACAGACAGGAAGTCAGCAAAGCTCAGGCAGTGACAACAACCAACAGGGAAAAAAACACCCTACTTATTGATTTATATAGGCTGCAGCCACACACACTAAACGACCCACTTTCCATGCACTTTCCAACTGGATTTTGCCAGCTCACACAGTAAAAAGTGCACTGAAAGCGTATTGAAAGTGGATTATTTAGCCTGTGGGCGACCACAGCCAAACTCAATTGATATACCGCCCTTCCCCGAGGGCTCAGGGCGGTTTACGACGACGACGACAAAATACAATATAAACCAAATGAAATGAAATAAGACAAAACAGTCAAATGAAGATGAACCACACTAAAAATTTGGAAGAGCACTGAACGAATGGTGCCTGCTGCAACAGTAGCCCGCAAGCGGGGGCGGGGGGCAAAGCGGGGCGGGGGACGCGGAGGGAGCCCCACCTCTCAAGGCCCGGGCAGGTCCCGATCCAGCCGCTCTCCCTTCCTCCCAGGCAAAGCCCCTCCGAGCTCCCAGCCTGCCCACGGGACAACGCCGCGGGTGAACAGCGAGATCATCCCGCTTTCGGTTTCGCCTCTGAGATCCTGCCCGGCCGGCGGCGACCGAGAACCCAGGCACGCGGAAACTGCCGCTAGGAGGACCGGGCCCCCGTTGCAAGGCCCGGGCAGGTCTCGATCCAGCCGCTCTCCCTTCCCGGGCAGGGCCCCTCCGAGCTCCGAAGGGCTGCGGCTGCAACGCCGCCGCGCCTCCCCTCCCGCCCGCGGCCTCCATGGAGCCCCCAGAGGCAGGGGAGGCCATGGGTCCCGGGGGCGCCGACTTCCCTTCCCCGACGGCCCCCGCAGCGCCTGTGGAGGAGGAAGCGGCCAAGGGCTCCCCGGGGCCGGTCATGTGTGTGTGTGTGTGGGGGGGGGGGTCCTCCTCCCTGTCCCCACCGGCTCCGAAAGCCACAGCGACACGTGAGGGGGTCTTGTGAGCAAAAATTCTACTTTGTGAGAAGCAGTGTTCCCTCTAAGGTGAGTTAGTGTGAGCTAGCTCACCGATTTTTAGCCTCTGGCTCACACATTTTTGTCTTAGCTCAGGAAGGAGGGCTCCAGAGCAAACTAGTTTATGCAGCAGCCAAATTGCTCACTCACAACTTTAATGCCAGGAGCTCACAAAGTAGGATTTTTGCTTGCAAAACTCCACAGCTTAGAGGGAACATTGGTGAGAAGTGGTGGCGGCTACAAGCATGGACGGCTTCAAAAGGGAATTAGATAAGCATATGGAGCAGAGGTCCATCCATCCGTGGCTATTAGCCACAAGGTATAGATAGGGGCTCTGGGGCAAGTGATGCTCTGTCTTCTTGGTGCTTGGGGGGGGGGGCAACAGTGGGAGGGCTTCTAATGTCCTGGCCCCACTGGTGGACCTCCTGATGGCACCTGGTATTTTTGGCGACTGTGAGACAGAGTGTAGGACTAGATGGGCCTTTGGCCTGATCCAACATTGGCGTCTTTTATGTTCTTATGTGAGCGACTGGCATTAAAGTGGTGAGTAAGCCACTTGGAGCTGCGGTGGCTCAAGTGGTTAAGACGCTGAACTGCAGGCTGTGGAAGGTCAGTAGTTCAGCAGTTCAAGACCCGGGTACCGCAAGACAGGGTGAGCTCCTGTCTCTAGTTCCAGCTCCTGCCAACCTAGCAGGTCGAAAGCAAGAAATTGCAAGTAGATAAATAGGGACCACTTCGGTGGGAAGGTAACAGCGGTCCGTGCGCCTTGGTGTTTAGTCATGCCGGCCACATGACCACGGAAACGTCTTCGGACAGCGCTGGCTCTTCGGCTTTGAAACGGAGATGAGCACCGCAACCCTAGAGTCGGATTCGACTGGCTTTCGAGCAAGGGAACCTTTACTTTACCTTTAAGCCACTTGGCTCCTGCACAGATCAGTTTGCTCTGGACTCTGGAGGCATCCCTTCCTGAGCGAAGACAAAAATGTGTGAGCCGGAGGCTAAATAACTGTGAGCTGGCTCACACTAACTCAGCTTAGATGGAACATTGGTCTGAACCAGAGCTTAGGTCATCTGCCTCAGCCCCGAATCTCTTGCTCACATTTGGAATACAAGAGGCTGGCTGAAAGTTGCCCAGCTTGGAGGGACCAAGCGAGGGTTTTGGCCTTTCTCCAGGGGTGTGCTTTATAACCTTGGCATCAATTAAATGTCAGGGCCCCACACATCAGCTTTTCTAGTTTCCACCACTTTTTAGAAAGTGGGTAGGGCCACCGGGGGATTTTGCCCAGCAAGGCTTATTAACAATTGGAGATTTGATTGGCTGTGCAAATTTTGGCTGTGTACCATCACAGCACTACTGCCACAGACAGGCTAACACGGCTACCCATCTTGACCTATCTTACCTTACCTAATAAGGTCTTCCTCAGTCCACCCTCTGCCAGACAGTTACATTCATTCATTCCATTTGTGCCTTGAACTGCCCAAACCTAGCCCTTGCTTAGCAGCAGCTAGGTTGCTCCGTCTTCTGCCTTCCAGCCATTCACATAGCAGACGACTTCTGGATTTGGTCTTCATTGTACAGGAATGACGGGGTGAGGCTGTGCAGGCAGGCAGGGCTTCGTTATCAGTGGTTTCCACTCAGTTCTATAGGATGCTATCAGCAGGTCCTATTGACCAAAGTTGGTAACAGGGCACCATAGGAAGGCTCTTTGGGCTGCTAGTGGTGCCAATAGCCTCTGCTGTATACTTTCCCTTTCATGTCAACGACCCTTAATTGTTTTGAAATTTGAAGAGTGAATTTTTTTTAAAAAAAGAATCGTACTTAGCTCATAAATGAGATGTTCCTTATGTGGCACTGTTTCCATTGTCATATCCTGACTCTCCTCCCCCTCGCTGGAGCAGCAGGCATTGCCTGTGTGTCTGCAGGGAGAGCAAGCATTTGGAAACAGCTGCCTCCAGTATAGGACCATGCTTGGCTTAGACCCTCCAGATGTTTCGTGATGGCACTCTCTGTTTAATGTTCTCACAATTCCAAAAGGGCCTACAGGCGCAACAAAGTTGCGGGTCCCTGTAGTGTGTGACATTACACTCGCAGTAAGGGGACACTTCTGTTTACTGTCTTGTCTGTACCAAAAACTACTTAAAGCCCACTTAATTTTTTTCTAACCACAGCTGGTCTTCTCGTATTCTGTACTGAAATGGCCCGGTAGAGGCACGCATACAAGCCTATCAGCTCAACGCTCATAGCTTGGAAAACATTAAGTCCGGCTGGTTGACCATGTCAAAGCTGACAGCTCCGACGGACACCCTCTCAACTTCGCCCAAAGGTGTTATCAGTCTGCCTGCCGGGATGTGGACACAGTTCTAGAATTTATTTTTTTGCTTTTAAAGGCCTTGAAGGTTCTTAACAACCACATGCACTTTTATATCAAAGATCTTTTATTAAACATTTTGCAATTGTATACCCAAGCAATGCATCGGTATTTAAAGGATTCTGAGCATAATAACCTTTAATACATCAATGTCTACATCTGTAAACTTCTGGGTTCCGTAACACATTTTCACAGGATGAGGGCAAGTCATTGCTAGGGTCCATACCTGACTAATGTCCTGTCCCTCAATCACAGTTACGACCACTTGAATTTTTACACACTTCATTCTATAAAAACACATGTAAAAAGTGCAAGATTTGACCAATTCTCTTTGGACAGTCACACAAGCATGATTCGTGTCTCTTAAATCCTGTTTGTGAGTCCCGAAGTGTAGGGCAGTACCGGAAGGTTAGCACAAGCAGTTTGCCAGAGTCTCCCTTGCAAACTGCGGAGGCGGAGGGCGGGGCTCCATTTGTGAAGAACCTCAAGGGCCAAGGCGATTGGTCAATGCCGTCTTCCACGACTGGTCAGAAGACGGCCTGCGGTAAACTGAGCAGGTTGCCTGTCAGGTTGGGTGTAGACAGAAGGAAGAAGCAGTCACGAGGCTGGAGAGGGCAGCTGGTGTACAAAATGATTTTGAGTTTTTCCTGTAAAAACCCGTCTCTCCCAAGTCACAGGAAAGGGCAGCTATCACCAAAAGAGGTATGAAAAGCCAGCCAGTAAAAGGCTGCTGGTGTATTTTGCAGTCGAGACAAAAGACAGGAGCTGTACTGCAAAAAAATGTCGGTTACTCGGAGGTACAGCTAGATGTGTCTTCCGGAGGAGGCAGTATTACTTTCAGATCTTTTAGAAGCTCTATCTGGGTATCCAGTCTTTTCCGTGTTTCCAGTAGTTCCTGGATTTTTTCCTCTGTCCCTGTATAAGATGCTTATTAATAAACGCAACACAATTTGTTGGAGAGTACTATCAATAGACTGCTGGTGACCTTAAGACTTCTACAGATAGTCACATTAACTAGCTGCAAGCAGTAACACTGGAAATTTTATTTGTGTATTCTCTCTCCTCTCTCTCTCGTGTGTGTGTGTGTGAGAGAGAGAGAGAGAGAGAACGAATGCACCTGGAAGTCGTGGCGACCTCTGGTGACTCACCCCTACTGGGGGCCTAGAAGATATTCAGAGAGGTGGCTGAATAAAGCCTGCCCCTGTCCTCCCAACTACTGGTATTCCAAGGACGTCTCCCATTCCAGTACTTGCCAGAGCCGACCCGGCTTAGCTTCCAAGATCTGACAAGATCGGCCTTGCCTGGGCTATCCAGGTCAGGACATGACACCGGAAATATTCAAGATTCAAAGCTTTCATGGAATCAATGACACAGGGAAACATAAACTACTATTTATGCCAGAGATAGCTGGCAGAACTCCTCTGGCAGGCAGCCAGAAAAGACAGAAAGGCTCCTGTTTCCAGCCCTTGAAAGGAATGTGTTAACACTTAGTGGGTGCTGGTGGGATAGGCCAGAGTTTGGGTTTTTACAAATTCTAGCCCCCAACCTGACTTTAACAAGCCTTCACCAATATCAATCATATAAGTTGTGCCACCGAGTGCTACAGCCGATGGCTCCCTTGTGCCTTAGGATTAGCACAGCCATTCAAGGGCACCCCCCCTCTCTGCTTGCCCCCTGCAGCGGTGTTGGGACTTTGTTTTATACGTACCGGAATGTGCACTGGCAAGGATATTTTCAAACAGGCCACAGTCAAAAAGGGATATTACTGTCTCTTCGTATACTGCAGATAAAAAGACAATTTTTTTTCCTGTTCTCATAAAATAAAACAGATTTTTATAAAACACACACAAATGCCACACTATCCCTTTACATTTATCAGAAATGTTTTTTCAATCACGGTTCTAGGAAATATAGATTTCCTGCTGTGTGCCTAAGAGAAACGTATTGTTTTGACATTGACTTTAATGAGAACCATATGAATTTGCATTAATGAGGTGTGTTCCATTTTAACCCAGACTGGGAACGAAACTTAGACCAGGGATTAATAAGCATTAGCTTCAGTCCAAAACTCACATGTTCAATTGTTATGCTTTTTAGGAGAGTTACTATAAAGGGAGTAGCAATGACATAAAGTCCCCCAAAGCTTCACCGCGCAAGAAATATTCCAGCAGAATGGGAGACTTTATACGCATCTCCTGCCAGGGCAAAATGAAAAGATAGAAAAGGCTGATGTTGCTGCACAATACCCAGACCCTTCACATAAACATTTTTTCACCTGACTCACTGGACACCAACCGTGGCATTTTGTTGTACCAGAAGAGGGGTTGGGGCTTCTCATCTGGACTGGGCTAAGGGACACGCCAATATCAGCGGGTTTCGCTTCTGACTGGACTAAAAGCAGCATGGCTGGCAGGGTGAGACTGTCCGGCATCTTTCGTCAAACATTCAAATTCCATAATGGCGTGTCAATAACTCAACCTCCCCCAAGTTAAGAATGGCCAAATATAATCATTTCCTCCAAGACCAATCCCCTGAAGAGATTTGTCAGAAAATGGCTCTCAAATCTAGATACTGAGGCTTTCACTCTTAGTTTTGTAATGCATAACTACTTGCTCATGCTTGGTTTAATAGAAGATATGTATTCCGTCCCTGCAGGGTAAGAGGAGTCCAACGTTTGAGGTATGCAGAATTTGCCCAATGTGGACCAGAAAGCTGGGCTGAGACAGGGGAGTCAGCCCCTCTCTTCCTTTGAGCAAAAGGTTCCCATTTGCAGGTGGCCCCCCTCAAGAGGGGGCAGTGGGGAAAGCCGGCCCCGCTCACCGTACCTGCGTCTGGAGTGCTGTCGTCCATCAGCTTTTCCTGGGCCAGGTGTAGGGTGTCCAGCATCTCTTCGAAGATTTCATCGAGAAGCCCGGCCCGCTTGCATTTCCTCAAAAACTCTACCCTGACTAGTAAAAGAAAGAAATGCGCCCTTAGTGGAATCGCTTTCCCAGCTCTGTCCCTTGCTGCTGTTATAAAACCTTCTACTGAAGTCACAAGCGATTTCCAAGACGCCTGAAAGGCCATGTCCAGCAAAGGGGGCATTTAAGGCCTTAACTATAATCTGTACTGGATGAATGTTGCTGTATTTTATTGGCGTTTTAACTGCTTTAATTTCAGTATATTGTTTATTGTATCTGATGGAACCCGCCCTGAGCCTGCTATGTGGGGAGGGCGGGATATAAATCCGATAAATAAATAAATAAATAAGAGGCAGCAGCTTCTGTTTCATAGAATCATAGAGTTGGAAGGGACCTCCAGGGTCATCTAGTCCAACCCCCTGAACAATGCAGGAAATTCACAAATACCTCCCCCTCCACACTCACAATTTGCTGTAGTGGTTAAGTGCACGGACTTTAATCTGGGAAAACCGGGTTTGATTCCCCACTCCTTCACTTGCACCTGGCTGGATGACCTTGGGCAAGCCGTAGTTCTGATAAGAGCTGTTCTTGTAAAAGAGCAGTTTCTGTCAAGAGCTCTCCCAGCCCCACCTCCCTCACAGGGTGTCTGTTGTGGGGAGGGGAAGGGAAAGGAGCTTGTAAGCCGCTCTGAGACTCCTTTGGGTAGTGAAGGGGGGGTATAAATCCAATCTCTTCTTCTTCTTCTTCTTTTTCTTCACAGTGACCACGGTTCCACGCTGTTCTGCCAGAGTTCTGCTAAAGGCACCATGGCACTAGGTGGCCCCTGCATTTCTCCACAAGGCTAATGAGGGAGTTCAGAACGAACTTTTCCTGCCTCCTCTTATGGCTTACGAACCATATAAGTTTCAACAAGACAGTAGCTTATGATTCACTGTCTCTAAGGGAGAGCTGAGGTTGCCATCGGCCAGGTCCCCCCCCCCCCGCCGGCGAACAGATGACCGGAGCCCAAAAATTGCATACCAAGGTCCCCCCCCCCCCCCCCCCCCCCCCGTTCTAAAATGCCTTCCCTTACTCACTCAAGGCCAGCAACCAATGTTCCCTCTAAGCTTTGGAGTCTTGTGAGCAAAAATTCCACTTTGTGAGCTACAGGCATTAAAGCTGTGAGTGAGCGATTTGGCTGCTGTATGAATTAGTTTGCTCTGGAGCCATCCCTTCCTGAGCTAAGACAAAAATGTGGGAGCCAGAGGCTAAAAAACTATGAGCTAGCTCACACTAACTCAGCTTAGAGGGAACACTGCCAGCAACTACCTTAAAGCAATACAGAATCCTCCATTTTCTCAGTCCTTCCACGTGGGACACGCTTCCCAGGGCTGCTATGATTGTAAAATGGGGGAGAGCAGAACCATGGAAAATTATGCTGAACTCCTCTGAGTAAAGCAGGCAGAAGCAGACTTGGTTCTTAAACAAGGGCAGAATAGCCTTATTCCCCAACAAATCCCACACGTATCCCTTTACTTTATTCTATATAGTTAGAGGCCACCATGCTGTTCGTTCCTTCATGCCATATTCTTACTTGCTCTGTTTGCTGCAGTGGGAGCAATACTCAGCCACCGGCCTCAACAGTGGGACTCCACAACCCAAAGGGAAGCCGTCGGGGAAGGGGGGGAGGATAGTGTTTTCTCCTCCCTTCTGAAGGCTATATTCCCGTGGTGTCTTGTGAGCTAAAATTCTACTTTGTGAGCTAGTTGTTGAGATCTGCGAAAAGGCCCCTAGCTGAAAAATAGTCCGCAAAATGCTGGTCAAGGGCTCGGAACAAAATGCAGGCCTTTGACAAGCTGAAAGCAGCTGCTCTGTTTTGCTCGCTAACACACTGCTGGAAAATCCCAGATGGGATTCATGCCTGGTAAACTTGCGCAATTGAAAGTTGGCTAAAACCACAGAACAATGAGAAAGGGGGAGAGGGGGCGATGTGCTGCGGACGAGAACTTACATCAGACAGAATACAAAAATCCTTTTTCACTTAGACTACACAGATACTCATAACAGTTTTACAACATATATACATATACAGACACACATAATAGGTAACGCATGATATATATATAGTACTTATAGGAATAAAAATTTATAGGAATGTTAACCATGAAAAAGCATGGGACTTCCCATGCCCATATTAGGAAGTTTGGCATAATAAAAATATCTACATGCTTGCAGAAAGCACAAGGTCGGCTTGCCCCAGGAAAGATAAGGGGAGGGACTGGGACCTCCCTAGATAATCAAATTGAATAAAAACAGCTGTTTTCGACTGATTGAGAAAAACAATTCTAAAGGTCAAAGCTTCTGATTGGTTAGCAGAGGAGCCCAAAAGAACATAAAAAGGAAAGGTTTTGGTATCATAAGGCGGGTCAGAGAGAGACATCGCTCCTGGCTCCACACTTCGATCCTGGTCGCCATAGGAACCAAGAAGGGAAGTCCTCTCCATTCAGCATCAGTGGTGAGAATGTTGTAAAATAATCATGTTCTGACTATTTGGATCAAATTGTAACAGGCAAATCATTGAAGCTGCACAGAATGTAATTTTCTCATAAACTGCTTAGTTGAAGCTATGTCTAAAATAAAACCTTTTAAAATCACAAAGATGCATCTGGTTTTTTTCCTTCGTCAAAGACAAGGTCCCTCATATGCAGAGCATAAATGAAAAAGATCCTGCTTGCACAAGCGGGTGGTGTAGGGCTGAGAGAATAACAGCTAACATACCGGCATTAAAGTTGTGACTTGGCTACTGCATAAATTAGTTTGCTCTGGAGCCCTCCTTCCTGAGCTAAGACAAAAATGTGTGAGCCGGAGGCTTAAAAACGGTGAGCTAGCTCACACTAACTCAGCTTAGAGGCAACACTGCCTACAACCCTGAAGCTTATCTCCCTTGGGACTAAAGCCACAGGGAACAAAGCTTAGTGAAATGGGTCATATTCCTCTTACGGTGTAAAGACAGAGGCCGTGTCTCCACCCCTCTTCCCAAGAGGCTGCTATTATTCCTTTCACAGCAGTGTGCAAACGATCCATCGGCATCATATACCTTTCTGCCGCTCCTGTTTTTTCCTTAAGGCTTCCAGGCTGTCCTCTGCAATCTTCTCCTTTACAATCTGCCAACAAAAAAATCACGGAAGCCTGCCTGTTTATTAGCATCCCACCATCCAACATACTAGTGGCAACATCTGCTTATTCTCCAGAGGTGAGCCCTTCCCCCTCCCTGCACCCCTGGGCAACAGTCTGGAACTAAAAACATCTCCAAGCAATTTTGGCTCATGCATTCTGTGTTCCAGTGTGTAAAAACGAGAACAAAAAGGACGGCGGCATTAACGGAAATGCTGGCTGAAGGCTGCTTACGCGGTCACCTATAAAACGTCTGACGGGACCTTCCCGAGCTATGCCCAAGGAGCCTGGATTCCTGACCGCTCCCAGCTAGAGGATGGATTTCACCCTCTACACAGGCCTCATGGGCCAGCAGCAGTGCAATATTTCTGCTCGGGTGCATGAAAAATTTCCCATCCGCACCCCTGTGAAACAGCTGGAGAAGGGATGGTGATACAACAGTGCGGATGAAGGCTGCCTGCATGGTCACTGAAAGGGCATCAGCTACAGAGAAGGGTCAATATTTCAGAAGGGAGTGTTTATCTACTCAGGGTGTTTTTAATCTGCTTTTCTCGGCTCAGTGCAGGCTCAAAGCAGGCCACGACGTCACAAAAAAGAAGTCATCATATTTCACAAATGTGACTTGCCCAAAACAGACCTGTTCTTCGGAGGAAGACAAGCTGGTGACACCCCTCCCCGCTCGCTTCCCAAAGGCTGACCCAGATTTGGAATTATTAACAAATTCACTGCTAAAATCAGAGATTGTGGGCTGCTTGAAAAGGACTGGGATGACTGCACTATCCTCGAAACAAGCCTGTTACAGAAGGAGTAAGGGGTTGAACCACAAACAGTGAAATCTCATTCCAGAGTGATAGAAACAAAAGCTCACATTCACCTTTGTGTCATCATTTCAAATTTTAAGCAAGTTTGAGAATACGTGGATAATGACTGCGTACCTCTGATGGTTTAATATTATATTATTTATTGATATTTTATGGTGTTTCCTAATTAAAAGTAGTACTAAAATAAATACATATACTCAAAAAGCTATCAAGGTTCTTGAATTTGACTGGCAGCCATTAGAACAAATGGCTACGTGACCTCCTAGAACGGAACTAGTGTGAGAATCTCCCCAACCCACCCAATAATTTCATGTGTTTTATCCTGTTCGCAGTTTAGAACTCTAGAGAGAAAACACAAGGTTGGACGTGTAAATATTAAGATCTTGAAAGACATATTTAACCAAGAATGGGGGGAGGGAGTACCTCAACCAGCTGGTGGGATGCAAGTGTGCATTGTTGGGGGGGAGGCAGCCCAACCCTCCACAGACATAAAGAGTAAGGCTAGTCACCAGGGGTAAAAGCAGTTTCTTTTGGGAGGGCTCTACTTTATAAGACTGTAGGAAACCATATTATATATGGAGCCGTATACGCTTGACCATATGAGGAAGCTGGCGCGAAACGTGGCACTTGGAAGAGTCTTAAGAGGAGCCGCGTCAAGAATTCGTTTTCTGAGGGCAGCTATCTTGGTCAGCAGTAGAGCAGCCAGACTGGAGTCCAGGAGCACCTTTAGGGACCAACAAGGTTTTTTTGGGGGTGTAAGCTTTCAAGTGTGAAAAGTTCCCTGTGTCAGACAAGGAGGGTATCTGGCGAAGGAAGCTTTGACTCTCAGAAGCTTATACCCCCCAAAATCTTACTGGTCTCTAAGGTACTACTGGACTCGAATCTAGCCATCAAGAATTCATTAAGTGTTTGGCTATACATTACCATTTTCTTCTTAGCAGATGAAGACTGCACTGTAATGGGCGACCTTTCCCTTTTACTGTCCTCATCTAGAAACGTCAACAGGCAAGAATAAGTATAGTATAAGAGGCCAACATTTTATAATACTTCAGCAAGTTAGCACGAGATATACCATAAAAACAAAAGAGGATAGCGCCCCCCCCCCCCGCCCCCTTCACCTTTCTTGCTTTTCTGCGGGCTATGATACTATATATATATATTAAAAAAAATATATGGCAGTAGACTCTGCCTCCAGCGTCTTGCTCCACTTGGTCTGTGGCAAATGGGCCCTTTAAACTTTCAAGAACCATCATTTGCTATAGGTAGACCTGGACTCTGGAGGACTATAGGTAGACCTGGACTCTGGAGGACAGGTCTTCCGCCCGTAGAAAATAAAGGTCCTTAAAAGTTTAAAGAACCCATGCACTGCAGACCATCTGGGGTGCATGCCCTCCTCCGCAGCTGCTTCTGCTGCTTCCCTGACACGATTACCAATTCCAGTATTATTGCGAGTGGGAATATTGAGAATTATCGGGGGGGGGGGGTTCCCACAAAATCAGATATTGCCAATCAGATCCCAGAATTACAGGGCATTTTACTTGGGTTGGCAGTATTTGATTGGATACCCCTAGTCCAGACCTCCCACAAAAATCAAAATATAATTAAACTAGGGCTAGTGTGATTACCCGAATGCAGGCCACCCCACTTGTTACGACTGATTTGGATTTGAAGCCCAGCAACAGCAACAAGCCACCACTGGAAACTCTTCCACAATGAGAAGCCCATGCGGGTCCAAATCAACGGTTCCCTCCAATATCTGATCTCTGGCAAACCTGGACCTGCGAAGTTTTAGTGGGCATTCTTGGTTCTCCTAGTTGTTTAGTGGGGTAGTGGAAAAGACACATTGGGTTTTAAGTAGCCCATACAAGCACAGTTGTTTGACAGGTAGTTTCACTGATGGGTACACACAACTCTCCAATGCAAAAAAAAAGAAGCAGCTGTTTTAGCAAGCCCAAAAGTGTCTGAAGCATGAGAAGACAGCCTGGCTCAGGAAACATACCAACACAACATCAACTGACCATTCCAGGCCCTATGGACGCCAGGCTTGCTGCCACCAGGGCCAGGGCCTTTTCAGTGCTGCCACCAGGGCAGTTCCATACTGGTGGAACGAGATCCCGGAAGAGATCAGGGCCCTGCGGGACCTCTTACAGTTCCGCAGGGCCTGCAAGACAGAGCTCTTCCACCAGGCCTTCAATTAGGAGCCGCCACACCACTACCACCAACATCTGTGGCTATAGGTCGGCCCGGGCATGGAGACTGTGCCACACCATCACGCAATGCTGAAGATCCCTGAACTGGAAATAACTGTTTGTATGTTACATAGTATGCCATCTTGATTACTGTACGCTGACTATCATCACTAGCACTTTAATAACTGGATCGTTTTTATGTTTATAATATTTAAAATGTCAACTTTTGTATATTGTTTTATGATACTGGGGTATAAATTGGAAGGCATAAAATAATATAAAATATAAAAGAAATAAATGTGTCACATCGACACACAGGGAGTACGAAAAAGATGCTTTTTCCTTAAGAGCAGCTGAGATCTAAACATCCCCTGGCACAGAAGCAGACTCCTGGATATCTGACGGATGGCAACTGAGGCCTACTTTCCTACAAGATGTGCTTCAAATCAGCAGCTGGTCCAGTGCGAACCGGAGACAACCGTACAATGAAAAGAAACTCACCATAAAGGTTGTTCTTCCTATCTGGGTCATGATTTGGACAGAACACTCTGAAACATTGGGAGAAATTATGAGAGAAGATACACAAGGTTAATACAGCAGTATTCACTGATCAGTGAAACAAATATACAGATAATACTATTTCAGCAGAAAGAGTATTTGGCTTGGGAGGAACCCAGGACAGTGCCCTTGTTTACTGCTTTAAGAGCACTCTGTAAAAGGAATTCAGCAATGGAAAGACAAGATGTTTCACATCCACAACTCTAGCAAGACTTGATTCAATTCTTTCTTGAGAAAAGCATTTTTTTTAAATCCGTTTTAATTTGAGAGATTCCTTTGGCATTGTACTTTCCCCCCATCTAGTTTCACTAACTAATTCAGACGCTGACTCTTGTGCCCTCTGCCATGGGATTATCCTTTTCCAGAATCAACGCCGAGCCTTGGAGCATTCAGCACTCCAAGCCTGCTTCTAGTCATGTTAGCGTAGAAGCACATCCCACTCACTTTTTTAAAAGGGCGTGTTCAAGACCACAGCCTATGTTCACCTAAGATCTTGATAACCATTCCACTGTTCTCCTCTACTTGGCCTCCTGCTCCTTGCTCATATAAGGAATCGTGGAGGTGCAGTTGTTTCCACACCGGTCCAGAGAATAAGGCATAAAAATTGCCCAGTAAAAACATTAAACTCAGAAACTTCCCTTGGCTTAGGAGTATTAAGACATTTCAGCCTCTTATTTGGCCACCAAATTACAAAAGATCTGCCTCAGGTCTTGAGTGGAAATGTGAATAGCAACCTTTGCTTTGCTATGGGGGCTGTGGCACATTGGTAGATCATCTGCTTGGCCCACAGAAGGTCCCAAGTTCAACCCCCAGCATCTCCGGTGGAAAGAGTCAAGCGGCAATAGATGTGAAAGACTTTTCCTGAGACCCTGGAGAGGCACTGCCAGTCAGAGTGGACAATACTGCTTTTGATGGACCAAGGGTCCACTTCAGTATAAGGCAGATTCATATGTTCAAGAAAATATTCTGAGAATCTATCACACTTTATTTGCTCCTTCTATTAGAAAACAAGTCACATGAAACCTTTATCAGGTAATGTCAGCAACACATAAGTACCCCAATCTCACAGTATGCAAGTATCCCCATCTCTAGTGTCTTCCTCTAATAAGAATCAACGTGATTCAGAGCAATGGCTGCCAGCTCTAAACTTTCAATTTTTTTCTTCATGATCTTCAGAGATTTGAAGAGTTGCTCTGATTGAAACAAGCTTCTCTACACATTCTCATATTCACCGTTTGGAGTCTATATTTGCAAAAATAAACAAAAGAGGGGTTTTTTTTTCTTGCACAAGCCAAAGAAGACAGAGGGACCTGAAGCAGGCAAGAGGATTTGGAAGTGGTATGCATCTATAATGGACAGGGATCATCAATACGCAACACTGTAGATTGTGTGAAACAGTTACGAGAAAGCACTTTTAAGAGACAGCGGACACGTGTTAAAACCTTGTTTTGAAAACAACCCGTCTCTCCATTTTAAAAGAGCAAGTCTTTCATAAAGCCCCCCCCAACCAAAATCTCTCCCAATTTTCCCAGCCCTTCTCCTTTCTAACAAGGCCAACACTTTCTCATGCTGGATCCACTTAGCGCACACTCTGATGCAGCGCATTCCCCTTTTAACGTAAGCCTAAATCCGTAATTCTATTCCTTGCTTTTACGAAGATCCCTGTAACTTTTTTCCTTGCGAGACATCTCCACGGAAATAAACCTAACTTCTCATTTCTTCCAGCATGTAGCTGGAATCCACAGCCAACCACAGAGCTTGTGAAAGCTGGGAGGACACCAGGGTGTGCTGCTTTTTTTGTGCCCTCAAGTGGCAGCCGACATATGGCGACCCCGTATGGCTTTCAAGGCAAGGGTCGTTCACGGGTGGTTTGCCATTGCCTGCCGTTGCCATAGCAACCCTGTACCTCTCTGCTGGTCTCCTTTCCAAAGACTAACCAGGGCTGGCCCTTCTAAGCTTCGGAGATCTGACAAGACCAGGCTGGCCTGGGTTATCTGGAGATAACCAAAGACTTACACTGCTGGTGACTGGCTCCGTTTCATGACACCGTGGGATCCACTGATATCGCCCAGCCAATTAAACAGACTCCTTTTACCAGAAAGCGTTATTATTAGACACCATAAGTGATGGTTCCAAATCACAAATAAATGGCAGAGACCACTCAAGGTAAAATACTGATGGCGGTACAGAATTCAGAATAGGTTTTGTTAAATACCGATAAATGCCGTGCACTTCATCTGTTTCTATGGCAGCGTCATCACACAGAGCACAGAAATAATGGTAACTCCTGCGACAGGTTTTCACCTCACACCCAACGGTGGCTCCTCTCTTGCGACAGAAATTACATATCTGCAACAACAGGCATCGCAGGGCCTTAACTACATTTATAATTTATATTACTTCGTTGACGTTTAGTAGCCGTCATTAGGAAATAACGATTTTTTTTTTTTCAGGCGTAGCAAGCCAGTGTGTTATAGAAGTTAAAAAGCGTTGAAGGAAAATCTGGGAGACCCAGGTTCGAATCCTCCCCACTCTGCCATGGAAGATTCCTGGGTGACCCCGGGCCAGTCACACACTCTCAGCCTAACTTACATCGCAGGGTTGTTGTGAGGACAAAACGGCAGGATATAAATAAATACATAGTAGTGAAGGGTTCCGAGGAAATCGCCCTTAGCCAAGCCCCGCCCCCCCCGTCAGTTCAGCATCCGTTTCTTCCCATCCCTCCAAATTCTAATTACCCCAAAGAGACTGCCATCTTGTCTGCTAGAATCTGGAAAATGCACACACCACCCAACTACTCTTACTGAGACGGGACTTGTGACGACCTCTTATTTGGGGAGGTCTGGTTTACCTTTAAAATTTCTTATGTTTTTACTCTGTAGGGTATTCTCGCCGCCACCAGGGAAATTTAAGGCTTTCCCAGCCTCTTACTATAATATATTTCTTCTTCTGGTTTGGTAATGTGGCCCAGGGTCTAGGCATTCATGAAGGGCTATGTGTTATTTCCTGAGGAATTTCGTTCAGAACTGTTATCTTAAATAAAAGTAGATTTATTTGCCGTTTCACACACTTTTCTCTTCACTGACAGGGCTCTGGGCATGTCACTATGTAACAATAGTTTCCTTAGGCCATATATGTTAACTGTTTCTTATACATTCAACTTCAGCTTATATTTGTTTCAACACAGAACTGCTGGTCACTTTCTTTCATGCCCAGCTCTTAACTCTCAGACCTTAAAAGAACAAACTGCTTAACTCTTTTACTAGACAGAACTTATAACAACTGCTTTCACACAGCACTCTCTGCTGACTCTGTTTTACTCCACAGTCATCTCACTAACTGTCTTTCTCACCTGTCATCATAAACTCTCCCCACTCTAACAGTCACTCCTGATAGACACTCAAATCATCCACACAGCATCCATTCCAAAACCCCTCCCCCTCTCTGTCACTCACCAATCACACCACTTGCCTGTTTCAGCATTCTAGATTGTCCCACACAGCCATATAAACCAAACTTTTAAAGACACACACACACATAAACATGAAATCGTTACAGGACTAATCTCACTTGAGACAAAATGAACCACTCTGGCAGCAAGTCAGCTGCAGGATCCACCTATGGGAGGGCCGGAGGAATTTCAGCAGCTAACTTTTAAAGGGCTATCAGTAGGTGACTCACCAGCCTCCTCCCTCTCTTTAGTTCGTTCACAACCGAGGCCACATCAAACCTTATGTCGAGGTTTTCAGGATTGTGTTCTTCGGATTCCACAAATCCAGAGGAATATAACTAAAAAAGAAGAAAAGAAACAAGAGTTAAAATAATAATAATGATTTTGCAGGTCTTATTAAAATGAAGCCGTAAGAAACAGCAACCAGAATTTGCGAGGGATTCAAATCCGCTGGTTTTTGATTCAGAAGTTTCTTTTGTGAGTTCGCTCATCCACCGTCAACCACTCTGAACGACAGACACTCTCGGGTTTTAGTATTATCATCACTGTTGTTGCCTAGCATAAGTTGTCTTGGAACCCCATCTTGAACCTATAGTTGATTATTTTTGGAGCACCGTGGAATGAATTTTTAGTGAATTGTATTTATTATGCTGTTTTGTATTGTTTTATTGTTTTAACTTTGGCATTTATGCCCCTTGTAAGCCGCCCTGAGCCTTCAGGGAGGGCGGGATATAAATTTAAAAATAAATAAATAAATAAATAAAAAAGGCTCATTCACTTCCAGCCGCCTAGAAAATTGAGGATTTGTTCAAGACCTCATTGACTCGTTGCAAGGCAGCTTCTAGCTGCTCAGGAGAGGTCATAGCTCAGCGGCAGAGCATCTGCTCGGCATGCAGAAGCTGCCAGGTACAGTCGCCAGCATACGGAGTGAAAAGGATCAGGAAGCAGGTCATGTGGAAGACCCTGGAGAGCAGCTACAAGTCTAAGTGGGCGATACTGATCTTGAAGGACCAGTGGACTGATTAAGAATCAGGCACGTTACCTGTGTTCGCCTCATCCCACTCCAAACCTGAACCTGAAGAAGTGAGGTAACCTGCTCCCAGAGGCGGCCTTACATCTGCCCCACCTCTGGACTCTGTGGTTCAGTCAGCCAGTGCAAGGCTACAGGGAGGGGAGCAACCTGGAGATATGAAGGCCCAGGAGGAAAAAAACCCAGAATATATTTTTTTGGGGGGGAAACTGTCCCCCCCCCTTTTTTCAGAGGGGTTTTTACAATTCTTCCAATGGAAAAAAATGTAAATTTGGGGGAGTACTAAAAAAACTAAAACCCTCCCTATGAAATATTTTCTCTTTTAAAATGAGTGAAGTACTTTTAAATACAAGATGGGCATGCTGTAGACATACATCAGCTCTTAAATCCAAGATGCATTTCTGCACCTAGAAGCACACTGTTCATTGCTTCCGAACAGTTGTACGCCTTCTGTTTTCCTTTTCACCTGATGAGGCTGACCATAAGCCACTGTACATATTTACAGACTGGGTAAAAAGACTGCCCTGATTTGCAGGGGGGAGAGATCAGAAAGAGATGGGCTACAAGTACTTCTTCACCCAAAGAGTGATTAACACTTGGAATTCACTGCCACAGGAAGTGGTGGCGGCTACAAGCATGGACGGCTTCAAAAGGGAATTAGATCAGCATATGGAGCAGAGGTCCATCAGTGGCTATTAGCCACAAGGTACAGATAGGGACTCTGGGGCAAGTGATGCTCTGTCATCTTGGTGCTTGGGGGGGTCAACAGTGGGAGGGCTTCTAATGTCCTGGCCCCACTGGTGGACCTCCTGATGGCACTGGTATTTCTGGCCACTGTGTGATACAGTGTTGGACTGGATGGGCCTTTGGCCTGATCCAACATTGGCATCTCTTATGTTCTTATGGGGGAGAAAGTGCACCAAAGCCTCAGAGGAAAATGGAAACTTCCATTGAGAACGTAGCTCTTTCTCTAACCACATAGCAAAAATTAAGGTACATGTGTGCTAAGTTAGCATAGGGCACATCATCTTGCAGTTTTCTCTAAGTACCTGTGCAAAACTAATGCACTTAAAACTTTCAAATTCCATAAATATGTCAAATATTACAATTTTATATGCTAAGTTTATAAATACTGCATTTTATGTTGTTAAAGCAAAAAAAAAAATAGTTTAGGTTTGACAGGACAGTAAGCAGTATGTACGCTTCAATTTTCTCCCAAACTTCCCAATATTTTTCCAGAGGGAAAAAACACCAGGGTTGGTTTTTTTTACCATGGCTTCAAAATTTCTGGAAATTATACATCTCTAGAGCAGCCTAAGACTTATCTAACCATTTCATAAAATCCACAGCCTCCCCTTCTTCAGTTTTTCCTCTCAGAATACCTGGAGAATTCCAAAAATGTGAAACACACCATAAAGGCCAAAACCAGAACAGTCAATTTTTCATAATACACCCAGATCTAATGCATAAGACTATTCTTAATATTTTACATTAGAAGAAGAGTTGGTTTTTATATTCTGCTTTTCTCTCCCCAAAGGAGTCTCAGAGCAGCTTACAATCTCCTTCCCTTCCGCTCCCCACAACAGACACTGTGTGAGGTAGGTAGGGCTGAGAGAACTGTGACTGACCCAAAGCCACCCAGCTGGCTTCATGCGGAGGAGCAGAGAATCAAACCCAGTTCTCCAGATTAGAGTTCGCTGCTCTTTACCACTATACCACGTTGGCTTTCCAGGTATTACATTTAAATCCCACTCGTTTCCCATCAAGGTAGTGGAGGCAGCTGACATAGGATTGCTAGGAGACTGCCATCCAGACACTGCTCAGACCGAGGCCTTCCAAGCTTCACCATATGCCTTCCGACCATGCCCCGAGCCCATTATAGTTATTCCTAGTAATCCCATGCATTAGGTCCTTGCGTATTATTGTTTTTTTTAAAATGACTGCTCCAATTTTGAACTTTACTGAAGTATACCGATATTTCTTACTGGACAGAGAAGAACAGACTTCCTTCTTGCGTTTTCAGAACACTTGCCAACACTTTCACTTTGTAGGGGACATTCAAGTGTTCAAATGATCGTCTATTGATTATTGCTGATTTCCAGGAATCTTTGGAAGAAATTCTTTGGGATTCTCCTGGATAATTAACAACCTGTTCCCACTAAGCAGAGTTGTAAAGAAGACAGGTGTTTTAAATCAAATTTAATTGGCAGCAAAGAATATTCTAATGAGCAGGTGAACCATCCCAACTAGATGTTCCAGCCCTTGCGTCAAAGAAAAGGAATTTTAATTGATAGCAAAGGAGTTTTTCTTTTAACTTCAGGTGTTTCTGTCTCAGGCAGTCAGCCAATTTTCAAATAGGACGTACTTTCCACCTGTCAGAGCCCAAGATTTATGACGAAATCTTATACTTCAAAGAAAGAGGTGAAAAGTTTATTATAGCGGTTTATGATTTTTAGTAACTTTAAATAAGAGAAAATCATACTAAGTTTCTCTTTCTTTCATGTTTTAACATATCAATATTGAACTATTGGAGTCTATAAGCAATATCTATATCTATATGTTTGCCTTTTACAGCCTATTATAACACAGAAAACAGTTTGCTTGTTTGAAAAAGCTTTACTTAATTAATTGAATTGGTGCAATGCCAGTAATTCAAATTGGAAAGCACCACTACCAATGTTAGAAATTTATGGTTCCATCCTTTACTACAAAGGAAGAGCCTAACTGAGGTGAACCAAAGGACAGGTGTACACTATAAGAGAAAAAAATCCCCTCTTTTAAGTTATTATGGGCTTTTACAGAAAAGTGGGAAAATAGCAAAGAATAGTTTAAAAGAGTAAATATCTCTGAATGTTTATAACTGATGAAGGCTTATGAATAAAATGTTTTTGAAAAAAAACTAGTTAAGTTTTTAAGGAACTCTGTTTGAAATTAATGAGCTACTAACAAACAGAAAGTTGGGAGATGTTCCAAAAGGTTTAAGAAAACAAAACAATAAATCATGCACACCTGGAAGCCAATTAAAAAGTACAGAACTTGTATTATACAAAAGGGGCCCCCCTGCTGGTTAGATACTACATTTTACAAATTAGAAGTTTCAATCTGGACAAAAGAAGCTTTATAAAATTACCAAAAATATTCTGATGGACCAAAATGAAAACTGATAGATTCAGTGTATCTATAAAAGCTTTATGTCATAGATCACTTTACAATATTAGAAGAGTGCTCATAGAAAGTTAATATTTAAAATAAGTGCTATAATTCTGTAATTCAATGTATCCTTTGTATACCCTTAGTGAAAATAAGCTTATAAAATGTTTTAAGAATATTGTTATACTTTCATATGCATATATTAATGTAAGAGAACCATTTTTGTAAAGAAAACATCTAAGTTTTGTACTGAAAATGAACTCAGCCTGTGAATTCATTCAAAGGTGAAAGGAGTCTATGTAGGCAGCCAAGAAAATGAACAGATGTATAAATCAATATAATGAGACAAGCAACTGCATTGTAGAGTTGAGAGGCAGCCAAGTAACATCCTGTTTGTCAAATATGTGATTGATGACTGGCCAAAGAAATCTAAACTGAGCATGTGCGAATGATGTCAACAATGATGTAAAGTTGGGGGGGAGCAAGAAAAGTATATAAGTCTGCTCCCTGTATTTGTTCACTGAACATCTACAAGCTGTCAGGTGTTCCTTTATTCGAATAAATTCTTTTGTCAAGAGAACACACTGGTCATAGCGAACACTCTTTTCCAACAACCTAAGAGGCGACTCTACACATGGACATCACCGGATGGGCAACACCGAAATCAGATTGATTATATAATTTGCAGTCAAAGATGGAGAAGCTCTATCCAGTCAGTAAAAACAAGACCTGGTGCTGACTGTGGTTCAGATCATGAGCTACTCATTGCAAAATTCAGACTTAAACTGAAGAAAATTGGGAAAACCACAAGGCCATTCAGGTTTGACCTAGATCGCATCCCTGATGAATATACAGTAGAGGTGAAGAATAGATTCAAGGGTCTGGATTTGATAGATAGAGTGCCTGAAGAACTATGGACGGAGGTTCGTGACATTGTACAGGAGGCAGCAATCACCACCATACCAAAGAAAAAGAAATGCAAGAAAGCAAAATGGCTTTCTGATGAGGCTTTACAAATAGCAGAGGAAAGAAGGAAAGCGAAAGGCAAAGGCGAAAAGGAAAGATTTACCCAACTGAACGCAGATTTCCAGAGAACAGCAAGGAGAGATAAGGAGGCCTTCCTGAATGAACAATGCAAAGTAATAGAGGAAAACAATAGATTGGGAAGGACTAGAGATCTCTTCAAGAAAATTGGAGAAATAAAGGGAGCGTTCCATGCAAAGCTGGCCATGATAAAGGACAAAAACGGTAGGGACCTAACAGAAGCAGAAGAGATTAGGAAAAGATGGCAAGAATACACAGAAGAACTATACAAGAAAGACCTCGATGTCCTTGACAACCACGACGGTATAATCACTGACCTCGAGCCAGACATCCTGGAATGTGAAGTTAAATGGGCCTTAGAAAGCATTGCTAACAACAAAGCTAGTGGAGGTGATGGTATTCCAGCTGAGCTATTCAAAGTCTTAGAAGATGATGCTGTTAAAGTGCTGCACTCAATTTGCCAGCAAATTTGGAAAACGCAACAGTGGCCACAGGATTGGAAAAGATCAGTATACATTCCAATCCCAAAGAAGGGCAATGCCAAGGAATGTTCAAACTATCGCACAATTGCACTCATATCACACGCTAGCAAGGTCATGCTCAAGATCCTACAAGCTAGGCTTCAACAGTACGTGGATAGAGAACTACCAGAAGTACAAGCTGGGTTTCGAAGAGGTAGAGGAACGAGAGATCATATTGCCAACATTCGCTGGATTATGGAGAAAGCAAGAGAGTACCAGAAAAATATCTACTTCTGCTTCATTGACTATGCTAAAGCCTTTGACTGTGTGGATCACAACAAACTATGGCAGGTCCTTAAAGAGATGGGAGTACCAGACCACCTCACATGTCTCTTGAGAAACCTGTATAAGGGCCAAGAAGCGACAGTTAGAACCGGATACGGAACAACTGATTGGTTCAGCATAGGAAAAGGAGTACGACAAGGATGTATACTGTCACCTTGCTTATTTAATATATATGCAGAGTACATCATGCGAAATGCTGGCCTGGATGAATCACAAGCGGGAATTAAGATTGCTGGGGAAAAGATCAACAACCTCAGATATGCAGACGATACCACTCTGATGGCAGAAAGTGAAGAGGACCTCAAGAGCCTCTTGCTCAGGGTAAAAGAGGAGAGCGCAAAAGTGGGCTTGAAGCTCAACATCAAAAAAACTAAGATCATGGCATCCGGCCCCATCACTCCTTGGCAAATAGAAGGGGAAGTTGTGGAAGTGGTGACAGACTTCACGTTCCTGGGATCCCAGATCACCGCAGACTGTGACTGCAGCCATGAAATTAAAAGACGCCTGCTCCTTGGGAGGAAAGCGATGGCGAACCTAAACAGCATGATAAAAAGTAGAGACATCACCCTGCCAACAAAAGTCCGCATGGTCAAAGCAATGGTATTCCCAGTAGTCATGTATGGCTGCGAGAGTTGGACTATAAGGAAGGCCGAGCACAGAAGAATAGATTCTTTTGAACTATGGTGCTGGAGAAGACTCTTGAGAGTCCCTTGGACTGCAAGAAGAACAAATCAGTCAATCCTCAAAGAAATCAACCCTGACTGTTCCCTGGAAGGCCAGATAATGAAACTGAAGCTCAAATACTTTGGCCACCAAATGAGAAGGGAGCACTCACTGGAGAAGACCCTGATGCTGGGAAAGATTGAAGGTCAAAGAAGACGGGGACGGCAAAGGATGAGATGGTTAGACAGTGTCATCGATGCAACGAACATGAAGTTGAGCAAACTTCAGAGGATGGCGGAAGACCGGAAGGCCTGGAGGGAGCTGGTCCATGGGGTCGCAAAGAGTCGGACTCGACTGTGCGACTGAACAACAACAACTGCCTGAATAATTGTTTTACTGTGTGGTTTATCAGCTAGCCACACAAGTCAAAGAAACTTAGCGCCCTCAGGGCGTTGCTATCAACTTCATTCCTACCTTTTAAAATTATAAATCAGATTCAAGGGACTTTGGGTTCAAAGGACTGACTTGGAAAACGTGACAAAGATTTCCCCCAAATCTCAGATTTCTGTGTCGGTCCCATAACAACGTCAATTTCTCATGTCAATCTCTATGTGAGCAAGACCTTCACCTTTAAGCATCATTAAAAAATATATATCTCCTAGTATGGAGAAAAGTCATCCCAGCTTGGGAAATCTTCAAATTCAGTGAATCTTTTTACAGGGAATCCGCCCCCCTCCCCGAAAGGAATCTTGATGAATGCACAACTCAGCCCTTTCAGCCTAGAGTGCCACAGAACACGAACAGCTGTACCAGGCCTCAGTTGGCAATGAAGCTGCAGCCCCAATCATGCCTGAAAGACATACTGAGGATGCACACAGCAGGAAGATAGGTTAGATACCCTCCGCCTCCCATTCTCGTTTCCACTGGATGCATCCATAGCACACTGTCTCAGACTTGGCCTCACTTGTAACTTCACCACTGGAGTAGAGGCCATGCAAAACACTAAGGTAGGAGAAGAAAGAAGAAACAAGTGGGGCACACCGCCCCATGTTACAAATCCTACTCAAGGCTTTTTAACAGTCTGAATGGGCCCTCTGTAATAACCATGAACATAAGAACATAAGAGACGCCAATGTTGGATCAGGCCAAAGGCCCATCCCGTCCAACACTCTGTGTCACACAGTGGCCAGAAATACCAGTGCTATCAGGAGGTCCACCAGTGGGGCAAGGACATTAGAAGCCCTCCCACTGTTGACCCCCCCCCAAGCACCAAGAAGACAGAGCATCACTTGCCCCAGAGTCCCTATCTATATCTTGTGGCTAATAGCCACTGAGATCTGCTCCACAGGCTTATCTAATTCCCTTTTGAAGCCGTCCATGCTTGTAGCCGCCACCACTTCCTGTGGCAGTGAATTCCATGTGTTAATCACTCTTTGGGTGAAGGAGTACTTCCTTTTATCCGTTCTAACCCGACCGCTCAGCAGTTTCATGGAGTGCCCACGAGTTCTTATATTGTGAGAAAGGGAGAAAAGTACCTCTTTCTCTACCTGCTCTTTCCCATGCATAATCTTATAAACCTCAATCATGTCACCCCTCATGCTCTGTGATTATTGAATCACAGACAGCGTAAAAGATCTGCCACTCATCTCCCTACTTCACCTCCTCCCGTTGCCTTAGTTTATTTTATTTATTTCTTTATTGCCTAATCCCCATGATCGTGGGGCTCTAGACAATGGACAAATTTTAAAACCATAAAAACATTAAACCATACCCAGCATGTTATACAGTAACTAAAAGCAGGTGGCGAAAATGTTTATCCCCTCCCATATCTGGTCTGGGGGTGCTTTGTAAGCACGGGGAGGGAGTAAACTCCACAAGGAACACGGATACGGGCAGGGTGCCAGGCATCATGTAAACCGCCGCTGTCAGCCAAAAACCTGGCGGAACATCTCTGCCTCACAGGCCCGGAGGAATTGCATAAGATACCACAGAACCCTGATATTATTTGGCAGAGAGTTCCACCAGGTCGGGGCCAGGACTGAAAAGGCCCTGGCTGAGGACAACCAGGTATCTCTCGGGCCAGGGACCACCAATAAATTGTTCTGTGAAGAGTGTGATGCTCTCCCAGGTTTCTCTTCGTGTTATGCTTTCACATATGAAAAAACATAAAAGGCAAGGCCAATAAGGTGCATTAGTTACTTAATTCCCAACACATCTTCATCAGTGGAACCTGATCAGCAGTTCAGAGACTTTTACGGATCTGCTGGTACACAGTGAAGCTGTACAGTGTTTAGATTTCCCCCCGTCAAAAAGACTTGGCACAGGTGTCTTCTCTGCTATTCAGTCATGCCAGTCTACATGGCTGTTATAGAAGTCCATTTCACGCTGTAAAGAGAGGCAACATGCCTGCTCTGATTCCATCTCCTGGCCTCTAAACCACCAGGGATTCCCTACATCAGTGGCAATGAAGTGTTCCCCCTGTCCACTTTCTGCCACAGGAGGTGGCGGCGGCTACAAGCATGGACGGCTTTAAGAGGGAATTAGATAGGCATAGGGAGCAGAGGTCCATCAGTGGCTATTAGCCACAGGGTATAGACAGGAACTCTCAGTCTGGAGCAAGTGATGCTCTGTATTCTTGGTGCTTGGGGGGGGGGGGGGCAACAGTGGGAGGGCTCCTAGTGTCCTGGCCCCACTGCTGGACCTCCTGAGGGCACCTGGCATTTTTGGCCACTGTGTGACAGAGTGTTGGACTGGATGGGCCATTGCCCTGATCCAGCATATGCTTCTCTTATGTTCTTAATGACACCACCATCCTGACCCTCTTAGCCACTTTTATTTGGTCTGTGACAGTGCTCTAACCTCCACGTCTATCACTACAAAGCACATCATGCATCAATTACAGGCAATTGTCATGAATTGCCTCGAAAAGAGATCTTTGGGCATTTTCAGTTTTCCAGCCATTTTATCGTTCACAGGTAAGGAGGCCACTGCAAACCTCACCAAGCAATCTTGATGAACTGCGAGATTCTGTCCTTCAGCGATATACATAATGGAACATTCTTCATCCTCTGGGCAAAAGGCACACTGTCTTCTTAACATCTTCGCCATTTTCTTTATGGTGCCACTGAACTCCTATGTTATTTCACCTTGGGGGGGGGGAAGAAAAGGTTTTAAAGATTAACGTAACAGGCATTCTCTCCTTTGTCTCAAGGAAGTTAAACAACTAGTGTCAATACTTTAACTAAAGCATCCTTGCTTCTGAAATCCCACTTAACTGACAGCTAATAACATTTTGACAGCAATGCAGGTGTCCAGCCCAGACCTTGGCAAAGCTCTAGGAGGGAAGAAAACACTTGGTGCCTTTGGTGTTCTTCTAAAACGTGAACACTGCATCCTCAAGAGGGTGACTGCTCCCAGCTATGCCAAACAGGGAAGATATACAGGACTAAGAGCCACTGAGGCCCAACGGCATATCTGTCATGGATCGCCCTGGGTTAACATAGGAAGAACAGTCCTTGGAGGAGGAGGAGGAGGAGGAGGAGGACAACCTGCCCCCAAGCCCCACCTTCGCAGACACTCCCAGTGCGACAGACTTTCTGATGCCTTCCCAAAGAGACCCTGAGCCAGCACTGGCACCTCCCCCTGAGCCAGTAGGGCCCTCAGGCCTAGAGGTCCCAGCATGGACCTGCCCACGACCAGACCCTCCACAGTCTTCCGAAGCACCCCAGGAGCAGAGAAGCCAAAGGGGGTAGGATTAAGGCACGGACCAGGCACAGGAGTGCCTGGCAGCCCAAGGCCTCACCTCTGCTAAAGCGATGATAGGACAGATAAGTCTCCACAGGATCTGGGCTCCAGCACTCCTCACGAGTAGAGATGCCGACTCAGCTTGTGAGGAGAAGCCCAACGGGAGACCCAGCAACACCTTTAGGGAAACTCCCAATATGAGGCTGCGGCCAGTGTGGGAGCAACTCGTCTGCAACCCTGCTGGCAATCCTACCAGCTACCTGCCTTGTTTAAGCTCTTGGGACCTTGCTACCTGACCCTGGGCTATGATTCTGGACTATGACTTTGAACGGGAATCCTAGAACCCTTGCTGAGCCACCTGTTGTGGCCTGGGACTTGCCTCCCACCTGGTGAGCAGGGCAATATCAAACCCTCGCTTGGACATACAGTGAGAGCCATGCTAAGTCACAGGTACATCTGATAAAGGGTAAAAAAAACAAGCTGCAGTCAGAAAATAGCATACTTAGAAGTCCCACACAAGTATCTTGGAAGCTTGCTACTATTTCAGAAATGCCCAAGTGTGATTCATAACCAGACAGTACCCCCCCCCCCCAAAAAAGGAATGCATGTGGGTGAAATAGGTACAGGTGAACTGCACTGTTAAGAAGCAGTAACAGCTTTGCTTTGAGAATTGTTGGGAATCTTTCCTAAAACTCTCCGATATAGACTGGATTAGTAGCGGAGTAAATTACTCAGTTGACATGAATAAGCTGCCACATCGCCTGGGATATCTTTTGTATGGAATATGCCACAAACTGCATCTCATGATGAGAGGACATCTCCTTGTCACCCAGCCTGTCACCCAGCCTGCCAATCAGAAGTGGCAATCAGCATAGTGTGGAACGGGCTGGGGGCCATGAGAAACCATGCCAGGAGAAAGACCAGGAGTTCATTCTAGTTGTAAGGTGTCAAGCCATTTAGGGCTTTATGGTACAACTAGGAAGAATGCCCGTTGTGGAACTGAAGACAACGGGCCCCTAGCCTAGCTGTGGGTGCGGGTCGCCATCTCCATCTAGCCCCCCCCCCCATGGCGAAGCTGGCCATCCTTGCTCTGCACAGTCAAGGCTCCAGGACCCCCACCCGCTCGAGGCGCCGGCGGGAGAAGCCAGCCAGGCTCGCCCCTCTCCCCGCAATGGGCGCAAGCCCGGCTGGGCGCCGGGCGCCGTCCACTTCCCACCCTCCCCACTTGGGAAACCAGCCCGCATTCCCCCTCGCAGGGTCGAGGCCCCAGCGGGTCAAGGCGCCTGGGTTGGCCGCTCCCACCACGACCCCCAGCCAAGCGAGGCCCCAGCGGGGCGAGCGGACCAGGCTCGTCCATCTCCCTGCAGTGGGCGGCAGCTTGGGCGGCCGGCGGCAGGCCCGCGTCTCCTTCCCCAGCCCCCTCTCCTCTGCCCTCTCCTCTTCCCCAGCCCCCTCTCCTCCACCTGGCCTCGTCTGTCCCCCCGGCACCCCCTCCCAATTGAGGTGCCGACGGGGGAAGCCGGCTAAGCTCACCCCTCTCCCTGCAATGGGCGCGAGGCCGGCCGGGCGCCATCCACTTCCCGGTCTCCCCAACCCGGGGAAGCAGCCCACACTCCCCCCCCACATGGGGTCAAGGCCTCGGCGGGTAAGGTGCCTGGGTTGGCCGCTCCTGCCACCATCCCCGGCCGAGCGAGGCCCTATTGGGGCAAGCGGACCGGGCTTGTCTGTTTCCTGCAATGAGCGGCAGCTCGGGTGGGCGGCTGCGGGCCTGCGTCTCCTTCCCCAGCCCCGTCCTCTGCCCTCCTGCCGTGCAGTTGAGGCTGTGGCGGGCCAAGCCACCTGGCCTCGTCTGTCCCCAGGGCATCCCTGCCCGATCAAGGTGCTGGCGGGGGAAGCCGGCCAGGCTCGCCCCTCCCCGCAATGGGTGTGAGGTCGGCCAGGTGCAGGGCGCCATCCACTTCCCGCCACCCCCACCTCGGGGAAGCAGTCCACACTCCCCCCCGCGGGGTCGAGGCCTCGGCGGGTCACGGTGCCTAGGTTGGCCGCTCCCGCCGCCACCCCCGGCCAAGCGAGGCCCCAGCCGGGCAAGCGGACCAGGCTCGTCCCTCTCCCTGCAATGGGTGGCAGCTCGGGCGGGCGGCTGTGGCCTCGCGTCTCCTTCCCCGGACCCCTCTCCTCAGTCCTCCCTCTGCGCGCTCGAGGCCCTGGCGGGCCAAGCCGCCTGGCCTCATCCATCCCCACCATGGGGCGACAGGACAGGCTGGGCCTGGCTCCCTGGCCGGCCTCAGGCGCGGTGGCACAGCACCATCTCCCCTCATCTGCAGACCACACGGTGGAGGTGTGAGGGAACGGGCCACCCCCGGTGCCTTTCCAGGCGGCTGGGCAGAGCCAGCGTATGTCAGCCTGGGCCTCCTCTTGGCTGGTGGCGGCTCCAGACTGCTGCGGCTCAGCAACAATGGCATGGCCCCGTCTGAGGCCTGCAGGCCGAGTGAGGGTGTCTGGCCAGTGGAGCACCCGGGCCGGGCCGTGGCTCGAAGAAAACTGAGGGCAAAAGGGTGGTCACTGCCTCCGTGGGCAGGAGGACATCCACAAAGGCAGCAGCACAGCGAATGGAGAGAGACGCCCTGTGAGTGACACACCAGGGCGCCAACCAATTCCAGAGCGTGTAGAATGTTCTAGAGAAGTGCCACCACCATTTGGCTTTTATTTATAAGGAAGATACTGGAACCTTGAATTGCAGCCAAACAAGGTGAGCAGGAGCAATCCACAGGGAGTACCAACGGCAGTCCTACACTGAGAGTTATTTGCTCAATTCAACCCAGAACAGGCTAGAACCTTATCATCCGATAGGAGTTGGAGAACAGAGACCCTAGTGAATGCTGCAACCTGACCAGCATAATTTCACATCATTGCATGTATATACACCACCAATTACATTTGCACGGCTTAAGTAATGCCTTTCACAGGGGACAAAATATGGCTTTAAGCCAATGGTGTATGATGATATGTTTGCACAACCAGGTGCCGTGCTTTTAAAAACTCTCTTTCAAAAGCACGCCTACAGAATGTTTCAGATCTATGTCAGTTCAAAAAATTTCAAACTATTTTCACATACTCATTCTAAATACTTATATCCTTCTTCTCCACCATCAAAGGAGCTCAAAATGACTTCCAAAACAAGGCTCCAGCAACAAAATAATTAGTCACAGCACAATACAATTAACAGCCAAGACGATAAAGTGCCAGCTATCAAGATTTCCAAATAGATTTCCAAACCAGTTGACCATAGCCAGAAAGTAGCAAAATTACCACCACCAAAAGTAGAAGAAGAAGAAGAAGAGATTGGATTCATATCCCGCCCTTCACTTGGAGTCTCAGAGCGGCTTACAAACTCCTTTTCCCTTCCCCTCCCCACAACAGACACCCTGTGAGGTGGGTGGGGCTGAGAGAACTCTGACACAAACTGCTCTTTTTCAAGGACAGCTGTACCAGAGCTTGTGACTGACCCAAGGTCACATCAGCAGGTGCAAGTGGAGGAGTGGGGAATCAAACCCGGTTCACCCAGATTAGAGTCCGCACACTTAACCACTACACCAAACTGGCTCTTCTAACAGCCCACTTCAATTCAATTTCCAATAACCTTAACTGGCATAACAATAACTTTAAAAAGAAAGAATAACAGTACAAATCAGCCCATATGTCAACAAAGAGAAACAATCAGAGTACAGCGGATTGTAACACTGTATACAGTAAAGATAATAGGGCAAAATGATAAAAGTTTGGAACAGTAATCTCAAGTATCGCAGTAATTAAAACAGTTACAATAAGAATCTTAACTATCCAAAGAGGATAGATATGCCTTATCTCTCTCGCTCACTCTCCACCTCCTTTCCTCTTCCCTCTCCTCTTTTGCTTGGCCCCTGAGTACATTTGCCAGGATCTCTGCCACCTGCTCAGTAACTTCGTGGTTTTTGTCCGCTAGCAAGAACTCAATACCTCTATTGGTCGCAGCCTTAGAGAGTTGAAGGAGAGGACTAATCAAGTGTAAACGTAGCTAAGTAAACAGCAGGCAGTTTAAGAGAATATGCTGAACAGAGTCAGGTTCTTTGCAGAGGCATCTGCACAGTCTTGCCTCATAGGGCAAAATAGTGCTTCTGCTTCCGGAATCTTGTTGGGACGGGATGTCTCTTCCGAAATCTTCAGGAAGGCAGTTCCATAGGGATGGCAGCACCCCACCAAAGGTATCCGTGACCAGCCCTACACAGGTGAGCAGGGGAGGAACAGGCAGGAGGACTGAAGCTGGACCACAGGTTCACACTGGGAGGGATGGCCTGTTAGGTATGCAGGTTCCAGGTCGCAAAGGGCTTCGAACCAGCACCCGGTACTGAACCCCAGCAACGGACAGGAAACCAGTGAGACTATCCGGAATGGCAGAGAAGAAAGGTTTCATACCTTTCTCTAGGTCAGCCGAAGAGTGGTAAATCCAGACATCACCAACAGAGTGGCAACAATTCACTCCAGATATTCTGTAATCTTGTCCAACAGGGTACAGAAGAGCAAGCCTCATTCTTTTCAGAACTACCAGCCAGATAGTGTAATCATCTTGCTGAAATCCACTGAAAGGTATTTGGCAGAATTGGGGGGGGGGGATATTCCAGTTTTCCAAAGGGGGCTGGGAGATAGCAGTTGCTTAGAAAAATGTTTTTAGCCCTGATGCCCAGGAATTTGAAACTTTAGAAGTCTGAAATATTTTTGCAACCACGATTTAGCAGACATTATAACGGTTGCCAAGGAAGTTTCTTTTTGGTGCTGTATTTACCACAACGTATTTTAAGACAAAGGAGGAGACTGACCTGTTTCTTCAGTTCATCAGGAGTTGAAGTCATACTGAAGCCATAAAAGAAGTTAAGGCACGGTTATGACAATGGTGTAATTTCAACAAAGCCCAACATTCAAAGCACTAGAAGAAAGCTTGATTCGTTCACAGTCTAAATCGTACCTGTCTCTTGGCTTGATTGTGTAAATGAGCTAATGCAGGCTTCTTGCAGACACGACTTTTAAAAGTATCAACAGTGTAGACTTGGACCGCTCAGCCTGAAGACCAGCCTGAAAAGGTAAAGAAATCCCATTTCAGCCTCTTTAAGTATGATTTAAGGTGTTATTTGACTCAAAGTGAAGCCTTTGTTTTAAGTCAAGTGTTTGGCATTTTCCATTTATTTGTAAATAAGAGCTCATTCTTGAACAGTATGGTACATTGTTGGGGAATTCCTGAGCCCAGGAATGTTACCTGGGAACCCAGGCCCTACCAGAATCCAATGGGCTGGAGGGAGATGGGCTAGAGACTGAATCTTTTTCAAGGAAAAGACAGTTCTGCAACACTGGAACTATTTATTGAAGTCCAGAAATGTGCAGAAGAAAAATCTTAACGCATTGAGTACGGTACAAAGAAAAACCCAATACTTCAGATAGGGTGCACTGCATACATGTAATTGGAATATACTCTGCCTGCCTGCCAAGACCCACATAGAATCACCGGTTGGCATGCAGCCCCCAGCAACAAAAACACAAGCAATGTATGAAGCAATGTATACTTTTCTGTGGTCTATAGTATCAAATGTAGGTGTCATTTAGGAATGTGATGAGCTTGACAAGACCCAGCCCCTGTTTAAACTCGGACCTGGTACCCCTGTCTCTTGGAATGTCAATTATGATCATATGTGTTCCACAAATCATGGCTCATGTGTCCCAGGCCCGATGAAGAACACACGAGTGAAGTCCAAGTGTGGAAGAAGAGTCTAAGATGTTTTATTGCAATAAACAAAGATACAGTATAGAGCAATACATAGTTCATAAACCAATACATACATAGCTCATAAAGCCTCCCACAGGAAGGGCAGAAGATTATATACCCAAAATGACACAGGTGCTGGTAACTAAACAGAGAAGGCCCCACTCGTTACAGGTAAGGGGGCATCATCTAACTTGGCACAAATCCATTGGTTGACCCCAGTCTGGGCTGTATTACATTCATCTGCAATTGTTTACCTGACAAGGAACACAGAGGTCTCTTCCTGTAATTATCAAGGGCCCTTTGTTTTAAGTCAAGTGTTTGGCATTTTCCATTTGTTTGTAAATAAGAGCTCATTCTTGAACAGTATGATACATTGTTGGGGAATTCCCACTCAATAGCCCTAAGCGGCCCCAACCAGACTTCCGGGTGCCCACTATATCACAACATGGTTAAATCATCATAGATGCAAGGCACTCCTCTTTCTCCTGACACCAAGCCGGAAATGCAGAAATCTTTCACTAGAAATAGACAGCAGGAAGGATAACTAAAAGCCCCAGATGCTTTGGTTGCCAAACTGGTACTCCCTTTCTTTAAACCTTTTTATTAGCTCTGCTCCTAAAGCCCGTTAGCAAGTAGAACTGTTAAAACCAGAGATACAGATAAGGAAAGTTTGCACATTCTCTCAACTTACATCCCAGACTGCTGTCTTGTCAGCCTGTGTCCAAGGCCTGAGAGAGAGAAGCAAGCTGTTAACCAGCAAGCAAAATATCTAATTAGCTGCTGTAGATTTTCCAGGTTGTGTGGCCATGGTCTTGGCATTGTAGGACTTGACGTTTCGCCAGTAGCTGTGACTGGCATCCTCAGAGGTATAACACAGAAAGATGGAGTACTCTCTGTGTCAAGGTAATTGCTTATAACATCATGAAATCAAATTATGGCTCTATCCTTAAGTTCCACATACATAAAGGGCATAGGCAGGGCAATGCTTATTTGAAGGAATATAGTACTAGCTAGGCAGCAAAGTCTTGTGCGGTCACTGCACGAAAGAATACAAGCTAAAGCCAATTCAAGACGAAGGCCTAATCTCATTTACGAATAAATTCTGCAACATACATACAGAACATAAATCTATGCTATGAGGTTGAAAACTAGGTAGGCAGGACAACTAATAACCTGGAAAGCCTGCGCTGAGGAGGGAGTGCAAGTGATCATGCTATCAGACATCCAGCACTTTGGGCTTAATAGTGTTATTGCAGCCGGCTAGCTAGATACTGTCCAGCAGCCCATTTTAAGGATCAGTGCAGTATTCTGCCAAATCCCCAAGGGTGTAACCCTCTTTGCAGCCTCAGTGCCAGTGCCACAACGAAGAGGTGACCTGGCCCTGCATTATCAACCCCACCATCCTGGGCTGCCTTCCAGGTGCCAGGAGATCTCCCTTTCTCCTCTTCCTGGTCCACTGTCCAGCAGCTAGTCAACAGAAAGAGACTGAGTGTTAATCACCCTCCACTTCCTTGCCAGGGTTCAGGGGGCAAAGTGGACCTTGACACTCACATCCTGCTCTTACATGGGGCTCCCATCCAAATTACTGAGAAAGTTCCCACCCATCTAATTTTCAGAACTTCTGCAGGTAATTCACTGGCTCCCAAAGAAGCACTGCTGCAAAAAGAAAACCAGCACAAAGTCACAAAAGGAAGTCTGGTTCCACTATTTTCTACCTCTTAGGAACATTTACACTGGATGTGAACAATAAAATGGGAACCAAAGTGGCAAACGTTTACTTGTCAGTTTACAGCTCAGCAGTAACATCATGGCCTGTGCCAAACAAAACAAAACAAAAAATCCTTCCCATAATTGTATGCATAATTGCTCTCCTATCCATCTCCCAGAACAATTTGAAAAATCTCAATGGTTACTGTAGCGTACCCTTTCTAATTTTCTTCATCTCACCTTCTTCTCATCTCCAAGGAGCTCAGGGCAGTGTACATGTTCCCCCTCTTTAGTATTTTCTTTCCACAACCACCCCGTGAGGTAGGTTTGGTTGAGAGTTAGTGACTGGGCCAAAGTACCCAGCAAGTCTCCAAGGCAAAGTGGGGATTCAAATCTGGGTCTTCCTGTTTCCAGCACACCATTTTAACCATCACACCACACTAGCCCTTTTGTCCTGGAATAAGTCAACCATCACTTTTGGGCATGTTCTCCTTAGGAACATCCTCCAGTGAGCTATATGCCATCACGTGTCCACAATGCCTCTGTACACAGGCCAAAGAGTTTAGTCCCTAAAGAAAAGAATAAACAGACCTTCCCAAAACAAGCACAAAGCAAGAAGAGAGAGAGATTGGATGTATACCCCACCTTCACTACCCAAAGGAGTCTCAGAGTGGTTTACAATCTCCTTCCCCTTCTTCTCCACACAACAAACACCCTTTGAGGTAGGTGGGGCTGAGAGAGCTCTTTCCAGAACCGAGAGATCTTGTGACTGACCCAAGGCGACGCCAGCAGCTGCATGTGGAGGAGTGGGGAATCAAACCCGGTTCTCCCAGATAAGAGTCCACGGTGTTCCCTCTAAGCTGAGTTAGTGTGAGCTAGCTCAGTTTTTTAGCCTCCGGCTCACACATTTTTGTCTTCGCTCAGGAAGGAGGGCTCCAGAGCAAACCAACTGATGCAGCAGCCAAATCGCTTGCTCACAACTTTAGTGCCAGTAGCTCACAAAGTAGAATTTTTGCTCACAAGACTCCACAGCTTAGAGGGAACATTTGTCCACACTCCTAACTAGTACACCAAACGAATATGGCTTTCCTAAGGGGAGCCATGACCAACAGGAGGGACTCTATGACCCACCTGAGGATGCAGATGGACAGGCTGAAGTCAACCGTGGGAAACAATATTGGGGAGGAAGTCTCCCCTTGTGGGTTGCAAAGTGGTAGTTGTGTTAGTCTGAAACAGAAAAACTAAATAAAAGCCCAGTGTCACCTTGAAGGCTCCGCAAGTTAGAGGAAACACTGGTTGCCAGGTCCCCCCCACCCCCAGCCAGGGATTGGGGGCTGGGGGGGGGGCAGGGTTGCCAGATCCAGGCTGGGAAACTCCTGGGGATGGAGCCTGGGAAGGACGAGGACCTCAGTGGTGGGGGGGGGGGGCGCAATGCCACAGAGTCCCCCCTCCAGAACCTCCAGGGGAACTGATCTCGGTAGTCTGCCGATGAGCTGTAATTCCAGGGGGTTCCCAACCCCCCCGGCTGACCTCCCTATTCTCCCCCCCCCCTTTCAGAGCCGGGGAAGGCCATATAGGGGGTGGGGGGAAGGCCCCGACCCAGCCACTGCCCCCTATCTATAGGGGGTAGTGACCCAGCCCGCTTCCCCTTCCCAGGCAGAGCTCCCTCCCCCCCAAACTCTCAAGGGCGGTGGGAGAAGCCAAGGAGACGACGACGCGGCTCCCCTCCCGCAGGTGGCCTCGGTGTCCCCCCACCCCCACCCGGGACGGCAGAAGAGAGGCCGGCAGGCAGGCAACCTCCCTCCGTGCAGGAGGAAGCAGCCGGGGTTGGAGGAAGCGGCGGCTGGAGCAGGCCGAGGCGCCCTCTCTCTCTCCCTCCCCGTGGCCGACTCCCCCTCCCCCCATTTCCCTGATTGGGGTTCAGAGGCCTGCTGAGGCCCGACGCCGCCTCCCCTCTCGCTCCCGCCGCACTCACCGGCTCCTACGCAGGGCAGCCGCGGGAGGAAGCGCCTCAGGAGAGCAACGGGGGCGTCCTTCTCCTCCTCCTCCTCCTCATGCAGCGCCTCTTCCCCTGCCAGGCCCAACAGCCTCCGCGGCGGCGTCGGATTCGCCTCGGCGCCGCCCGGAACTCCCTCTCTCGCCTTCCTCCCCCCCCCCCTCCTCCTCTGGAGGGAAAAAGGTTCCTCCTCCTCCTCCTCCTCTCCTCGCGGGGAAGCCAATTCCAACCCCCACCGCCCCGTGACGCCTGGGCTGCTGCTTCTCGGGGAGGGGGGTCTCTCTGCGCCCCCCACCCCAAATGCCTCGGGGAAGCCCCCCAGGTCCCCAAGCAAGAGGCTTCTTGCCGTGGACAAAAACCGTCCATCCCCGGGCCCGGGAGGTTTTCGTGCCACCTGCAACGCAGCGGGGTTTGAGCGAAATGCCAGGCTGGAGTGGAAAGGCTTGTTCACCCTGGGCGGTGTGTGTGGGACGGGCTTGGTCTCGGGCTCCAGCCTACCCCCCCCCCCCATGCAAAGCAGATCTCTGGGTGCAGGGCCGGATTTAGACTTGTTGAGGCCCTAAGCTATACAAAACCCAGAGGCCCCCTACTGTTTTAAATTACATCAGCTGGTCTCAGAAAAATTTAAAATCTATACACCTTTTTAATATTTGAAATCATTTTTTATATTGTGTTTTTATTTGAGGCCCCAGCAGATTGCGAGGCCCTAAGCTGTAGCTTATTTAGCTTATGCGTAAATCCGGCTCTGTCTGGGTGCCACCACCACCACACTAAGTTCGGCACATGGGACGGGAGGGGCTCTCTCTGGCACGAATGGGCGACGCCTTGGCACCGGCAGCTGCTGTCTGTGGTGGGTAGAGGCCAAAGTCGGGACAGGTGAAGTCCTTTCTCGCCTCCTGTAAGGTTAGGGTGGCACCAGCAATGCTCCCTCTAAGCTGTGGAGTCTCGAGAGCGACAATTCTACTTTGTGAGCTCCTGGCATTAAAGTTGTGAGTCAGCGATTTGGCTGCTGCATAAATCAGTTTGCTCTGGAGCCCTCCTTCCTGAGCTGGGACAAAAATGTGTGAGCCGGAGGCTAAAAAACTGTGAGCTAGCTCACACTAACACAGCTTAGAGGGAACACTGGTTGCCAGGTCCAATTCAGGAAATGTTTGTTGTTGTTCAGTCGCACTGTTGTTCAGTCCGACTCTTCACGACCCCATGGACCAGATCACGCCATGTGGAGCCTGGAGACTTTCCTGTTCCCTAAAAACACAATACAGCAGTGCCGTTCCCCTAAATACAGTCTTCATTTCCTCGTCCTCTTTTTTTTTTTTTTTGCCTTCAAAGGGCCCCCCCCCCCAGCACCTGCACTTCCACTAAATGAAAGTGTAATTTGTCATACCCCCAACAAGGTCACCAGCCTGTTGATGGGAATTTATCAGAGCACATAAAACACAGTGGAAATAAAGCCCGTCACAGACATGTGTGTTTAGCTTCTACGAAAAGATTTTACTAGGGAAAAACGGAAGGGTTGCATGGGAAGAAAATAATAAACAATATCACCTAACTCATCTTTCTACTTCTAGCGCCATCTTGTATCCCGACTTAGACCGGTGCTGTGTGAACGTGAGAACAAAGGAAAGGAAGTCCCCCCAAAGGCTTCTATAGATGTGCGAAACAACATGTAGCATCTCCCAATAGATTGATTAGCCAATAGTCCTTCTCAAACTAGTCTCGTTATGAATAACACCTCCTCATTCTTGGCAGGAACAACATGCCCAATTGGCTCTGTGCTAACTAGCTAATATAAACATTCATAAACAACAGCTCAGCTCTTTCATGACTGAAGAATGATACTTGCAAAACCTAAGGCAACCTCTTGGGAAGGTCTGGAGATCTCCCAGAATTGCAGCTATCTCATAGACTACAGAGATCAGTTGCCTACGCCATTTCCTCTCTGTTCTCCACAAGCCAATGACAATATGGGCTGTACCTCTGGATCCTTTATCAGCACTCTTTACACCACCCCTCCCACTTTCTGACTGAGATAAAAAGACTCCGAGATCTGCATTTCTGCTCTGCTTGTGTCTGACGAAGGGAGCTTTGGCTCTCCAAAACGTATACCCTGAAAATCATGATAGATCAAGACGGGTAGCCATGTCTGCCTGTGGCAGTAGAACAGAGCAAGAGTCCAGGAGCACCTTCAAGACTAACAAAATATGTGGCAGGGGTAGGAGCTCCCGTGGATCGTGAAGAAGTGAGCAGTGACTCACGAAAGCTCCTACCCTGCCTGAAAACCGTGTTGCTGATACTGGACTCAAGTCTGAGTGTTCTAACTGCAGACCAACATGGCTACCTTCTAAAACTATCTTCCCAGAGAAAATGGCTGCTTTGGAAGGTGGACCTTATGGCATCGTGCCCTGCTGAGGTCCTTCCCCTCCCCAAAACTCACCCACAATCCACCACAGGCTCCAACCCCAAATCTCCAGGGATTTCCCAGACCAGAGTTGGGAACCCTACACTGCCTGCTGCCCCCCTGACCACCTTGACAGTTCTCACTGAGCATTATTGTGCCAGAACTAGAAGGCACACTGTGGACAAAATGCAGGTATGGAGAACACACAAGCCACTTTGGGTCCCCACTGGGAAAAGAGGAAGGGTATACATGGAGCTGCGGTGGCTCAAGTGGTTAAGATGCTGAACTGCAGGCTGTGGAAGGTTGGTAGTTCACCAGTTCGAGACCCGAGTGTGCCGCATGATGGAGTGAGCTCCCGTCTCTGGTCCCAGCTCCTGCCAACCTAGCAGTTCGAAAGCAAGAAATTGCAAGTAGATAAATAGGGACCACTTCGGTGGGAAGGGAACAGCGTTCCGTGCACCTCTGTGTTTAGTCATGCCGGCCACATGACCACGGAAACGTCTTCGGACAAGCGCTGGCTCTTCGGCTTTGAAACGGAGATGAGCACTGCAACCCTAGAGTCGGATTCGACTGGTTTTCGAGCAAGGGAACCTTTACCTTTATACATGAAGTGCATATAATTAAACAAGATAGGCAACTCCTGGCCTAAGGAGGATTTCTGGGGTGCCAGAGGAGGGAGCAGCCCGGTTAAAATGCTGCACTGAGCAGCCTTCAAGGTCACACAAGCCATTCTTGCCCAACAACGTCAATCCTTGGAGAACAAACACAACCATTCAAATCTAGAAGTTGGCTTGTTTGCAGGAGATTCAGTCCTATACCTCCGAACTGGACCTTTTTTGGGGGGTGCTTTTCCCTGAAATCTGATGAATAGCAGGCGGTCAATCACACACTAAACAGCAAGATCCATAAAAGGTGCCCTACTGTATCAGAGAAGGAGCTGCGGTGGCTCAAGTGGTTAAGACGCTGAACTGCAGGCTGTGGAAGGTCGGTAGTTCAGCAGTTCGAGACCCGAGTGTGCCGCGTGACTGAGTGAGCTGCCGTCTCTAGTTCCAGCTCCTGCCAACCTAGCAGTTCGAAAGCAAGAAATTGCAAGTAGATAAACAGGTACCACTTCAGTGGGAAGGTAACAGCGTTCCGTGTGCCTTGGTGTTTAGTCATGCCGGTCACATGACCACGGAAATGTCTTCGGACAGCGCTGGCTCTTCGGCTTTGAAATGGAGATGAGCACCGCAACCCTAGAGTCGGATTCGACCGGCTTTCGAGCAAGGGAACCTTTACCTTCATCTTTACTGTATCAGACTAGTGGTCAGTCACACAGTGGCCAGCCAGCTGCCCTGAAGAAACAACCAACAGGACACAGAGGTTTCCCTTAATGCTGCCTCCTAGCACTGGCATTCAGAGATCTACTGCCCCTGAATATGGAAGTTCCCGTGGATCTCTCCTCCATGAAGCTGTCCTTCAAAGCTTTCGATGCTGCCGCCCTTCACTATTATTTGTTCATTAAATTTCATTTTTAAACCACCCTCCCTTGTAGAGACAGGGCTCAGGGCGATGTACGACACTGGGATACATTCACATAATAAATACGTAGTTTTTATTATAGTTTATTAGCTTTTACTACAGCAACTGGCAGTTAACCCCACTATTTAATCACTTGTTAAGTGAAGAGTGAGTGAAGTACTGCCTTTTGTCCACCCTGCTTCATATTTACGGTCAAGGATGATGTGAAAAGTAGAAAACCTGCCTGGGTAATCAGCTCCAAGATTCCAGGCAGAACAATGTTGGCACCATTCTGCCCACCTGCTCAGTGAGAAATATGTACAGAGGCATAGACCATTTATTGGCTTTGTAGTAAAGGTAAAGGTTTCCCTTGCTCGAAAGCCAGTCGAATCCGACTTTAGGTACGCGGCGCTCACCTCCATTTCCAAGTAGAAGAGCCAGCGCTGTCCAAAAATATTTCCGTGGTCATGTGGTTGGCATGACTAGAAACCAAGGCGCACGGAACGCTGTTACCTTCCCACTGAAGCGGTACCTATTTATCTACTTGCAATTTCTTGCTTTCGAACTGCTAGGTTGGCAGGAGCTGGGACCAGAGACGGGAGCTCACTCCGTCATGCAGCACTCGGGTCTCAAACGGCTGTGCTACTGACCTTCCAGTCTGCAGTTTAGCGTCTTAACCACTTGAGCCACCGCAGCCCCCTATTGGCTTGTATCCCATGGTAAATCTCTGCAAACAGAAGGGGGTACTCTCTCACCCACTCCCAAGTGAACTGCCAAAGTTTAATTCTGGGTATAAGCTTTCATATGCATGCATGCATGCATGCATCTTCAGATACTACTGTGCATGCACACAAAAGCTTATACCCAGAATTAAACTTTGTTAGTCTTAAAGGTGTCACTGGACTCAAACATTGTTCTGCTGCTTCAGACCAACACAGCTACCCACCTGAATCTAAGTGAATTTAAATCTCGTTTGAAACCAGCCTCTCTCTGAAACATCTCTCACCCTGCTCTTTATGTTGTGGCTATAAAAACACTGACTTAACAGATGTACAGGAAGTGAGCTCTGACTCACAAAAGCTTACACTGAAGTATGTTTTATTACTCTCCTCCTGCCTAGTGTTCCCCCTAGCTTACTTGGAAAGGACATTATGGCCCAGGTCACATGGCAAAGTTGCCGTGGGAGAGGGATGGTGGGCGGATTATCCAGGCGTGATC